GTGCCCCCTAGCAGGTGCTGCTTGGGGAGCATCTGGGGGCAGAGTGGGGAAAGTCACAAGTTCTGCGTTGTTTGTGTTTTCAGTGTCACTCTAGATGGATGGCAGCCTTCCACTGTGGGAACGAAACATGTTTAGGCGCTTGAGCCCAGGGACAGATGCGGGTGGGCTAATGGGTATGGGGAAGGGGAGGGACTCTTGCCTGAGCCAGCCATTATCAATCGTTGACAGCCGCCAGCCGGAGGCAGTCAGCACCCAGCTGTGCCTGGGGTGCAGGCGTTGGGCCTCCGTGTCCCAGTCGCTGGAGGTGACTGTGGACAGTGCAAGCCCCGAGTCTGTCTGCAGAATTAGGGACGCCTCTGGCAGACCTGATGGATGGCCCAGCCAAAATGCCATGGGCACTGATGAGAGTATCCCTGGCCTGGAACTCTGAATTTAGTCTGGCTGAGCGTGTTGTGCAGTGATTCTCGGTGTTACCCCATCACAATAGGTAAGGTTGAATGAGCAAGTGAGAAAGGTTTGCTCTTTTTAATCCTTGCCCAGTCTTTTGATGAGGCCTAGGAGAAGCTCTCCGTATGGCACTAATATGTCTTTAATGCCTACCTCTAACACTTCCTGGTGTCCCTTACAAAGCCTTAGGCACACCCCTAGTGTCTAGGTAGAATTTGATAGTTTTTCATTTTTATTATATTCCCTTTCGTGGTTGCCCTCTCTATATAGCAAGTGATACTGGTTTTCATGTTTGCAAGTGATACGCAGTTTTTTTTTGAAATACATTTTGGGAAGGGGAAAAAAACGTCCATTTAAGGAAACAGGTGACATAAGAAGTGGTATGCAGAGATGGCAGAGCGTCTCGAAGGTGATGTTTGAATAACTAAAGATTGGAAAGTGCTACTCTGGGATTTTGCCCACAATGATTTTCCTCTGTGTTGAAGTCTAGGTTCACAGTGTCAGAATGGGGTTTTAAGTTCGGTGCCTGCAGCGCTTGGATTGTTGCTGGTGACAATCTGTGGTTTGTCTGTCTCCTCTCTCCCTGTCTTCATTTGTTCATTCAGCACAGACATGTGAGTGCCTTCTATGTGCTAGGCGCTGTGCAGGTGGTCCCTGCTCTCTAGTACGGCAGCCAGACTTGTCAAAGCCTGACTGGGATTTGGTGTGACAAGTGTACTTGCAGAGGGAGGTGCTGCCGATTGTATACTCAGTACTGCCTGGCACAGGGAGGAGTGGGTCAGAGAGCACTTCCCAGAGGAGGAAATATTTGAGGTGGGTCTTAAAGGATAAGTAAAACTGAACTATTGATCAGCGCAGAAGAAAGGGAGAGGGAATTCTAGGGAGAGGGACTATCGCATGCAAGGGTGTGAAGGCCGGAAGAAAGCGGGGCAGTCTAAGACCATTATGTAGATTTTAGCATGGCTGGGGATAGACAGTGCTTCTCAAACTTAAATGTGCATTTGAACCCCGTGGAAATCTTGTTAAAATGCAGATTTTGATTGAGTAGATCTGGGGCCTGAGGCACAGATAGGCAAAGTAACTTGGTGAAGCAGAAGGGGCTGAGTTGGAGGCAGGCCTCAACTAGCTCGAGACGGGAAGGCGTCCTGTGCCATGCTGAAAAGCTTGGACTTGATCTTGAAGGCAGAGGGAGAAGTTGAAGGCTGATTAAACAGAGACGAACTGGAGGAAATTCACCTTTTCTAGCAGCTGCTCTGGCCATGTCACTCCCCCTCCCTGCAGTGAAGTGTCACGTGAAGTTTGGTCCCTAAGTGAAGTCCCGAATGCTTTCCTGCCAAGTTTGCTTTAAATCAAACTGCTAATTAGTCTCAATCCCCTTCTTCCCATTGTAGCCCTTCTTTTTATTTCAACAGATTTAGGGCATACAAGTTGAATTCTGTTGCATGTATTTGTTGTATAATGGTGAAGTCTGGGCTTTTAGTGTCCCCATCACCGAAATGGTGTACCTTGTACCCAGTAGGTAATTTTGCATCCCTCACGCCCTCCCAACTTCCCCCTGTCTGTGTTTCTACCCAGCTCTCAGGTTATGCTGATTCTGCTGGCCCATAGACCACACGTGGAGTAGCCAGTGTGAAGTTCATGTTCATGCAGCAGTAATACTCCATTAATAATGGCAATCACCAGCGTGGCCACCAGTGTACATGCTGCGCTGTATTTCAGGCACCGTGTGGCGACATACATGCATCTCATTTAACCCTCACCCCAGCCCTGTAGGGTGGGTAGTTAGGATTGTCCCCATTTCATACTCAAGGAAACTGAGGCACAGATAGGCAAAGTAACTTGGTGAAGCAGAAGGGGCTGAGTTGGAGGCAGGCCTCAACTAGCTCGAGACGGGAAGGCGTCCTGTGCCATGCTGAAAAGCTTGGACTTGATCTTGAAGGCAGAGGGAGAAGTTGAAGGCTGATTAAACAGAGACGAACTGGAGGAAATTCACCTTTTCTAGCAGCTGCTCTGGCCATGTCACTCCCCCTCCCTGCAGTGAAGTGTCACGTGAAGTTTGGTCCCTAAGTGAAGTCCCGAATGCTTTCCTGCCAAGTTTGCTTTAAATCAAACTGCTAATTAGTCTCAATCCCCTTCTTCCCATTGTAGCTTTTTGTTGATGTTGTTTCACTTCACTTGGTTGATTTTTAAGTGATTGATTCAGTTCAGTGTTTGAACTTCTTTTTGAACCTTAATGACCTGCTTACAAATCAAGATTGAACCTTCTTCCTAACACAGCAATATTGCTCAGTAAGTCTGGCTCACGGTTCAAGGAAAGTCCTGCTCAGAGACGGCAAATGGCTTTAATTACTTAATCTGAGCTCATTAAAAAATTGGAATGACCGTTTCATTGTCACATATGTTGTATTTTATTTCTGCATTCATTGTATTTTATTTATGTCCAGGTTGCAGCTAGCTAAACCCTTCTGCTCTGAGCTGTGTGTCAAGGCTCAATATTGCATTTTGAATCCGAGAGTCAAATACCAATTTAAAATCCTGACTTTTATACCTGTCTGTGAAATTCAGATAAATGAAACAAAAATAAAACAGGGCTGCTGGGTTGTGAAATATTGACTCTGTCCCTCTTTGTAGAATTCTTTAGGGGTAGCCGTTTTGGCATTTTATATATGATTTTTTTTCCCCCTTAGTCTGCCTTTTACTTTCTTGATTTGCCCATTTGTGATTTCCCATTGAAAACTAGGCTCATTGGAAACTAATGATCTGTTGAAGGGGCATGTTTTGTAATTTTGAAAATGAAATCTTAGGGCTAGCGCGTTGGCTCACACCTGTAATCCCAGCACTTTGGGAGGCTGAGGTGGGAGGATTGCTTGAGCCCAGGAGTTTGAAGCTGCAGTGAGCTGTGATCAAGCCACACTGCACTCTAACTTGAGCAACAAAATGAAAACCTGTCTCTTAAAAACAGAAAAAGAAAATGAAACCTACCCCTTGAATGTGCCTCCACTTGGGTGGCCACCTTCCTGGCTGATTCTGTAGCTGGTCCTTCCCTGTACTTGCCCAAGTCCCCCTTCCGCTGCTCGGCGGCTGCCTGGTTTAGTCTGTCTTTCCTTGTCACACTCCTCACCTCCTTTTCTTGCGAAGGTGTCCTTCCTGACCACGTGCTCGAGGACGCCGAGCATTCTCATCTTCCCTCTGGCTCTGTCCTCCTTGGATTTGTTGGATCTTGCCAGGTTTTTCCAGGGAGAGGACCGGGGAGAGGGTGTCTGTGTAGGCGCAGGCTTGCTGCCTGCAGCACTAACTTGGGTTTCTGGCATAGGAGGATTCCGGAACTTTGCTAAGAACGTTTGCATGCCCACCATCCAGTGGCACCAAAACCACTGCTGTTGTTCTCTGAAATACATATTCAAGCATCGACGTGTGGCTTGACCGGAATTAGTCAGTGATACAAGTAGGCAGATCGTAAACTCAAGAACGTGGGTCGCATCTATTATCTGTGTACTCTACACTAATTCTCGTTGGCTCTCATTCTTAATAATTGTTATTTTAAATGGTTTTTCTTCTTATCAATATTCTATTTATTCACTGTAGAAAATTTAGGGGAAAAACAGTAACAAAAAGAAGAAAAGGACTTTGTAGTCACTCTACCCTGATAAAAATATCACTGTTACTGTTTTGCTATATTTCCTTTTGCCATTTCTTTTCTTTACTCTTTTTTTGAGACGGGGTCTTGCCATGTTGCCCAGGATGGTCTCAAATGCCTGGGCTCAAGTAATCCTCCTGCCTCAGCCTCTCAAGTAGCTGGGACTACAGGTGTGTCTCTGCGCTTGGCTCCTTCTGCCTTTTCTTCTATACTTAGGTAAATGTAAACACATGGCTTATATCACATACTGTTTTAGAAGTTTGGCTTTCTTTTTACTTAACTCTGATCATCTTTCCAAGGCATTAACTATTCTAGTACATCTTTTTAAATGGTCATAGAGTATTCTTTTTTTTAAAATTAATTTTTAATTTTTTAATTTTTGAGAGACAGGATCCTGCTCTGTTGCCCAGACTTGAGTGCAGTGGCATGATCATGGCTCACTGCAACCTCCAACTCCTGGGCTTAAGCGATCCTCCCGCCTCAGTTTCCTGTGTAGCTAGGACTATGGGCATGCGCTACCACACCTGGCAAATTAAAAAATTTTTTTTGTAGAGATGGGGTCTCACTATGTTGCCCAGGCTGGTCTTGAACTCCTGGGCTCAAGCAATCCTCCTGCCTTGACCTCCCAAAGTGCTGGGATCACGGGTGTGAGCCACTGTGCCCGGCCATTCTTTTGTATGAATGAATGAATGATAGTTTTATTTAGGCGGCCCTTTCCTGTTGGACATTCATGTTGTTTCCAATGCTTTGCCACTGTTGTTGTTGTAAGATGAACATTCTTGTAGCTATTTAATACAACTCTGTACGTTTCCTAGAATGAATTCCTTAATGCAGGAATGCTGAACCAGGCCTTCTTTTTTTCTTTCTTTTTTTTCTCTTTTGACACATGTTAATATTTACTTTTCTTTCTTTTCAGACACTACAACAACAGGAGTGTAAACTTCTCTACAGCCGAAAAGAAGGTCAAAGGCAAGAAAATAAAAACAAAAATAGATATAAAAACATCCTGCCCTGTAAGTATCAACATTCTGCTTAGTAATAGTTGCTCTTGGAGAGTTTGGTTCCCAGGCCCTCTGTACCTTTTCCTGGGGGCCCTGTGCTTTCGTTAGCAGATCTGGGGCCTTAACCTCTTTAACTGCAAGCAGTTTCCAAAATAATCAACTGCAGTAGGGCTTGGTGGCCTCATTCACTGAGTTCTTGCTATGCTGATTATTGAGTAAAGTTGCCACTAGGAAGCTTTTCTGTGGCTGTTTCCTTCTGTTAATTTCCTATCTGTCCTAGGAATTTCCTTCCTAGTTAATTTCCTATCTGTCCAAGAGTGATCATCTCAAGGCTTGTGATTTCCCAGTGTCAGGCCCCAGGGTTCCCAGGTTTGTGTCTTTGTTTCTCCATACTAGACATGTGAGTCTTGGGTAAGGCACAACCACTTTGTGGGACTTAGTTTCCCTCCTGTGAGAAATAGACAAGCTCCTCCTGAAGGCTCTTCTCACTGTTCCGCTCGCTGATCTCTGGGCTCAAGTTACTGGAAATAAGGGTACACACCTATGCTTTGCTCAGAAGAGGACCTTGCAAATATTCAGAAAGCTCTACCTTCTTTAACACCCAGATGCCACCAGGCGGAGCCCAAGTTGAACCATGGAAGGCCTGGAAGAATGTAGGCCTTGAATGAGGATCTCAGAAATGGTTCTAAACAAGTCGAAACTCACTCTTCCAAGGAGCTAACTCTTTGCCAACTGTGTCTTTATCTCAGTGCATACCGCGTGCACACGAAGCGGACATTCTTAGCATCTGGGTTTCACAGACCATTTTAGCAGGGTCGCAAGTTGGGTGTAGTGGGTTGTGTGGGAAAACCAGCACTAGAGCCCCTAAAGTCACAGCTCTTAGCACCACACTCGAATGCAGGGGTCTGGATGGCAGGCCTTGCAAGACAGTGCTCTGGAAGGAAGGGAAGAAACATTTAGAACTTCTCCTTATTTATAGCCTTTATCTAAAAAAAAAAAAAAGAAAGAAAAAGAAAAATGTAAGTCTGATTGATGGCAGTGCATGCATAATGTATGTATCCAACTTAAAACGAGGCTTATTTGTATATGTATTGCATATATATTTCAGCATTCAAAAAGTTTTTGTTATTGGGATCCAGGATCAAATTTGGAGAGCATTGCTGTATGTCTTGGGTCAGAGCCACTTCATCAGATATTGGAAACTCATCCTGTGTGTATTTGTATGTGGGAAGCATAGCCTTTCTCTCTCTGCATAGATATGGACATGTGCATGGTGTATATGTATATCACATTCATATGGATATTTGTGATGTACGTAGGTGAGGATGGGAGAAAGTGGAGGCATTTATAATACTGAGAAAAGGCAAGGAGGAATTTGCAGAGAAGCAGTTTGAGCCACAGCATGGTCCCAATGATCTTGAAGAAGCCTCATCCTTTTTATGTCGTAGGAAAAGAGGCAGGGGACAACAGCATGTCACCTTTTTCTCCCTTAAAGATCTCAATTAGATATCCTCTCTAATACCTCATTTCTTTAAAGAAGGGAAGGCAAAAGAACATTGTTCTATTAAGACATGCAACTGTATTACTGGTTTCTACTGTCAAAATGTTGCTTAGGTAGAGCACTCAGATTTTTATACCAATGAGATACTTTTGTTCAGAATTTGGACAGTTGATATTATCAGAACCTTGTCTTCTAGATATTGTACTTCATTATGCTTCATTAAAAAGAAACCTTTTGGCCAGGCGCGGTGGCTCACGCCTGTAATCCTAGCACTCTGGGAGGCTGAGGTGGGTGGATCGTTTGAGCTCAGGAGTTCGAGACCAGCCTGAGCAAGAGCGAGACCCCGTCTCTTCTACTAAAAATAGAAAGAAATTAATTGGCCAAATAAAAATATATAGAAAGAATTAGCCGGGCATGGTGGTGCAGGCCTGTAGTCCCAGCTACTCGGGAGGCTGAGGCAGAAGGATCACTTGAGCCCAGGAATTTGAGGTTGCTGTGAGCTAGGCTGACCCGACGGTACTCTAGCCTGGGCAACAGAGCGAGACTCTGTCTCCAAAAAAAAAAAAAAAAAAAAAAGAAAAAGAAAAGAAACCTCTTTATGATGGAAATTTTCAAATATATTCAAGAGTAGACAGAACCCACATGTACCCATCACCCAGCTTCAACAGTTATCACCCATCCCCAATCTTGTTTCATCTCTACTTTGATCTACTTCTCTGCTCTCCCCTAATTATTTTATTTTATTTTTTTGAGACAGGGTCTTGCTCTGTCACCTGGGCTAGAATGCAGGGGTGTCAACATAGCTCATAGTAACCTCAAACTCCTGGGCTCAAGCGATCCTTCTGTCTCAGCCTCTTGAGTAGCTGGGACTATAAGCCCATGCCACCATACCTAGCTAGTTTTTCTATTTTTTGTAGAGACAGGGTCTAGCTGTGTTGCCCAGGCTGGTCTCAAACTCTTGCTTCAAACAATCCTCTTGCCTCAGCCTCCCAGAGTGCTGGGAATATAGGTGTGAGCCACTGCATCCAGCTTCCCCTCCCAAATTATTTTAAAGCGCATCTCAGATATCATGTGATATATCTATACTTTAATCTTTTTTTTTAAACACCAAAATTTTTTGGTTTGAAATAATTCTAGACTCATAAGAATTTACAAAAATAGTATAGAGGGTTCCTATGTACCTTCGCCCAGCTTCCTCCATTGTTAACATCCTATATACCCCACGGTACATTTTCAAAGCCAGGAAATTGTAAAGAAAGTGAGGCCTCATGTGGTGGTGTGCTATTTGGGGTTTAATTTTTTATGTGGTTTTATTAAATGAACAAAACCTGGCCTAGGTTGAGAATTAACTGATTTGAACTGATTTGTCCTGAAGCAATCTGAGTACTTAGGTGATCGTGGTCTCTGTTTCTTCCAGTTGATCATACCAGGGTTGTCCTCCATGACGGTGATCCCAACGAGCCTGTTTCGGATTACATCAACGCAAATATCATCATGGTAAACTTTGCTTTTCACAGTTTTCCGACCGTACATTGCTAGCCTGCTTTTGTATTTTAAATCCTTCCTTGTGTCCTGAAAGCAATTTCAGCTGTTTGAAGGATTTTCCTCCTAAATTTCTAGCCCGAATTTGAAACCAAGTGCAACAATTCAAAGCCCAAAAAGAGCTATATTGCCACACAAGGCTGCCTGCAAAACACGGTGAATGACTTTTGGCGGATGGTCTTCCAAGAGAACTCCCGCGTGATTGTCATGACAACCAAAGAAGTGGAGAGAGGAAAGGTATATTCCATAATCTTCTTTTCTGATAATCTATTTTTAAAGTATTGGATATGTCAGGTTGGCCATGTTAAGAATTGAGTAGATACGTTAAGCTTAATTTAACTGATCCTCTGGAAAAAAGGGAGTAGGAGAAATTTGATTATGGTGTGCCTTGGTGTAGTTTTCTTTATGTTTCTTCTGCTTGGGGTTTGTTGAGCTTCTTAGATCTGTGGATTTGTAATTTTCTTCAAATTTGGATAATGTTCCCCTATGTTTCTTCAATATGTACCCTGCCCGACCCTGTCCCAGGACACCAGTTACATATGTATTAATGGCAAGTTGAAGTTGTCTCATAACCCATGGATGTGTCATTTGTTTCATCTAGTTCTCTTTTTTCCCTTCTGAGTTTCATTTTGGGTAGCTTCTTTTTCTATGTCTTTAAGTTCGTCTTTTTTTCTGGAGTGTATAATCTGCTCTTAGTTCTATGAAGTCTATTGTTCATAGCAAACATTGTATTATTATTATTTTTTTATCTCTAGAAGTCTTATTTGGGTCTTTTTAATATCTTCTGTATCTCTCCTTTTGACATGTGGAACATTTTCTGTACTCTTCGAACATATGGGGTATATGTATAATAACTAGTTTAATGTTCTTGTCCACTAATTCTGCTATATGCGTCATTTTGTTTTTCCAGTTTTTTAGTTAATTTATATGGGAGGCTAACTCTGATCCTTGTTACTACATTGTATCCAGAAGCAGAAGTGGAAAAGGGAGTCAAAACCTTTAGGGGATTCGAGTACTAATTAATGAACACTGATTTCACTGGTCATGTGAACTATTCTTAGCATGACTTCCAAGCATTTAAAAAATTAATTTGAATTATCCAAACAACATATTCATGTAAATATTCAAACACATTAGAATTTAACCTTAACTCTAATGTGCTTAAACTCTAATTTAACCTTAGCTCTATGTTGCCTTGGTTCCCATCCCCCATGCACACATTTTAGTTCTCTCCTCCAGCATAAAAACCCTGTTCTCAGTTTGATGTGAATTCTTCTACACTGTTTTCTTGGATTTTTTTTTTTTTAAGTAAACTTGAGTTTTAATAAAATAACCATTCTATTATTTTAAAAAATGTCATTTGTTTATATGAATCATCTCTTTAAACACAAACTTTAGTATCCAATTAAAGTGGTCTGTAGACAACATCAAGCATGATAGAGTCTGTATGTCTCTGTGCAAGGACCAGATGTATGTCTGATTATATCAAAGTACAGATTAGTGCTGCTGTAATCAAAGTAAACCAAAGTAAATCAAAGAAGTGACTCAACTAACTACAGAGAGCAGAGGTTAGCAAACAGTGTAAGATATAAGTAATAGAGACATTGAACTTTTTTTTTTTTAATAGAGATGGAGTCTCACTGAGTTGCCCAGGCTAGAGTGTGTTTTCTTGGCATTTATATCTGTATATATACTTATAGAAATATATAGTGCTATTTCCCGACTGAAAAAGTGCTTTCATACAGTAACTTTATTTTGCATCTTGGTTGTTTTTTCCTCCAGTAAATATATATTCTGACTTCCTCTGTGACTATGCGTTGGCCTATTGCAATTGTGTAGTATTCTGTGTTGTGGATGTACCATAATTTATTTAACCACTATGCTGTCGATGGGCCCTTAAGTGTCCCAGTTTTTGCTCTTACAAGCAGTGCTAAAGTGAATAATCTTGTTCTCGCCTTCATTTGCACGTGGCAAGTGTTTCTCTGGGTTAGATAGATGTCAGGAAGAATTGCTAGGTCACTGGACGTGCATGCTGTCCATTTTAATTAACTCTGCCTACCTGCCTGCCAGACTAGTTGTCCCAACGTTCACCTCCACCAGCAGCAGCTGCCTAGTGCCCATCTCTCCACATTTCACGACACTTTTTTTAATTTTAACATCCTACATCTATAGAAGAGCAGACAAATCTTATTGAGTGACAGCCGTCTGTGTTATCCCAAAGTGAGTCCACCGTGGCAGGTTTTTTTAATACGGAAAAGTTCTCTGTTTTTATTTGCGTAGTCAAAATTCTTTTTTTAGACATTCTTTAATTGGTTTATATAAGAATTGCATGGAATGTAGCAGTCCTACCTATAAATTAAACCTCAGACAGATGGGGAATTTTGGATTTTAGCCCTCCTAATGTAATTTTCATATCTGTTGCAAAGGGCAGTATGATTTTTGTAAGACTTTCATTGTTGTACTCCTAGGTGGTACGCTTTCAAATACCTTTGAGGCCAGATCTGGTCATTGTGAAACAAAGGTTTCCTTTAGCAGCTGCCTGCAGTAACATTAGGTGTTCTTGAATTAATGAACCAATTAAAACGTCTTTGTAGTTTCTGCTTCAGGCTAGTGTTACGTGCCCAAACGTGGATAGGAAGACTGAAGCCCTTCATTCAGCTTAGTGCCTGATTGTGACTGTAGAAGGTCACCTGTTCTCAGAGGACTTGGGGACTGTGAAGTGAGGTGTCCTGTGTTGCTTCAGAGGAATCAGTGACAGTCCCTTTCAGAAGAGCTGCCGGAAGCTCCTAGGGCAGATAGGCGTTGGGCCGAATCGCTTATTCCACCCCTTACTGCCTCATCCCAGTCCCTGCCTGCTTCCCCATTCTTCCTCTTCGCTTGGGGATGACATTATGGGCTTTTACTCTCTCCATAGGCCTGACAACCTACTCTTGGTTGTCCAGTGCACAGAAGAAAAAACAGACTGTGGACTCCACCTGGACTCCCGGGCTTTATTTTAAAAGATAACATATTAATTCTCACATTTTAGAGTTTGTTTGCCAAGGTTCACCTGAGAGTTTGGAAAACTGGGGCGGGGTGGGGGGGAGGCTGCAGCAGTTTGCAGATGTTTAAAGTCAGCAAAAATGTCCTTTTTGGAGTCATGATTTAATTTTGTGTTCTCTGGTGAGTTCTCTGTAGTGAGTCGGAACACTCTGCAGCATTGATTGGCCAGTGACAGCATTGGGTGCAGCCTCTATTAGAAGTGTTTTTTGGGGAAACTAAAAATTGTATCAGATCTGTCAGAGAGGTGTTTGGATGTACAAGATACTAGAGGGAAAGCTGAATTCAGAATAATAAGAAATGAAGGCCAATCTCTTTAAACACAAACTTTAGTATCCAATTAAAGTGGTCTGTAGACAACATCAAGCATGATAGAGTCTGTATGTTTCTGTGCAAGGACCAGATGTATGTCTGATTATATCAAAGTACAGATTAGTGTTGCTGTAATCAAAGTAAACCATAGTCAGTGATGACTCAACTAACTACAGAGAGCAGAGGTTAGCAAACAAGTGTAAGATATAAGTAATAGAGACATTGAACTTTTTTTTTTTAATAGAGATGGAGTCTCACTGCGTTGCCCAGGCTAGAGTGTGTTTTCTTGGCATTTATATCTGTATATATACTTATAGAAATATATAGTGCTATTTCCCGACTGAAAAAGTGCTTTCATACAGTAACTTTATTTTGCATCTTGGTTGTTTTTTTCTCCAGTAAATATATATTCTGACTTCCTCTGTGACTATGCGTTGGCCTATTGCAATTGTGTAGTATTCTGTGTTGTGGATGTACCATAATTTATTTAACCACTATGCTGTCGATGGGCCCTTAAGTGTCCCAGTTTTTGCTCTTACAAGCAGTGCTAAAGTGAATAATCTTGTTCTCGCCTTCATTTGCACGTGGCAAGTGTTTCTCTGGGTTAGATAGATGTCAGGAAGAATTGCTAGGTCACTGGATGTGCATGCTGTCCATTTTAATTAACTCTGCCTACCTGTCTGCCAGACTAGTTGTCCCAACGTTCACCTCCACCAGCAGCAGCTGCCTAGTGCCCATCTCTCCACATTTCACGACACTTTTTTTAATTTTAACATCCTACATCTATAGAAGAGCAGACAAATCTTATTGAGTGACAGCCGTCTGTGTTATCCCAAAGTGAGTCCACCGTGGCAGGTTTTTTTAATACGGAAAAGTTCTCTGTTTTTATTTGCGTAGTCAAAATTCTTTTTTTAGACATTCTTTAATTGGTTTATATAAGAATTGCATGGAATGTAGCAGTCCTACCTATAAATTAAACCTCAGACAGATGGGGAATTTTGGATTTTAGCCCTCCTAATGTAATTTTCATATCTGTTGTGAAGGGCAGTATGATTTTTGTAAGACTTTCATTGTTGTACTCCTAGGTGGTACGCTTTCAAATACCTTTGAGGCCAGATCTGGTCATTGTGAAACAAAGGTTTCCTTTAGCAGCTGCCTGCAGTAACATTAGGTGTTCTTGAATTAGTGAACCAATTAAAACGTCTTTGTAGTTTCTGCTTCAGGCTAGTGTTACGTGCCCAAACGTGGATAGGAAGACTGAAGCCCTTCATTCAGCTTAGTGCCTGATTGTGACTGTAGAAGGTCACCTGTTCTCAGAGGACTTGGGGACTGTGAAGTGAGGTGTCCTGTGTTGCTTCAGAGGAATCAGTGACAGTCCCTTTCAGAAGAGCTGCCGGAAGCTCCTAGGGCAGATAGGCGTTGGGCCGAATCGCTTATTCCACCCCTTACTGCCTCATCCCAGTCCCTGCCTGCTTCCCCATTCTTCCTCTTCCCTTGGGGATGACATTATGGGCTTTTACTCTCTCCACAGGCCTGTCTGACAACCTACTCTTGGTTGTCCAGTGCACAGAAGAAAAACCAGACTATGGACTCCACCTGGACTCCCGGGCTTTATTTTAAAAGATAACATATTAATTCTCACATTTTAGAGTTTGTTTGCCAAGGTTCACCTGAGAGTTTGGAAAACTGGGGCGGGGTGGGGGGGAGGCCGCAGCAGTTTGCAGATGTTTAAAGTCAGCAAAAATGTCCTTTTTGGAGTCATGATTTAATTTTGTGTTCTCTGGTGAGTTCTCTGTAGTGAGTCGGAACACTCCGCAGCATTGATTGGCCAGTGACAGCATTGGGTGCAGCCTCTATTAGAAGTGTTTTTTGGGGAAACTAAAAATTGTATCAGATCTGTCAGAGAGGTGTTTGGATGTACAAGATACTAGAGGGAAAGCTGAATTCAGAATAATAAGAAATGAAGGCCACATCCTTCTGAACTTTCCTCCTACCATGTTTTTTTCTTTCTTTCAGTGACTCATGACTATGGTGATCACGTGTACAGTTGCTCTCGTATTTCCAATTTTATAGCTGTAGATCTCTCTGTCCTCTTAACATACAAGATAAGTTTCTCTTGTTGATATTTGTGTTTTGGTGAAAACCAAGAAAGGGAGTGGTGTGGGTGACTGCGTCTAGAAAACAAGCAAACACAAAAGCCTTCTCTGCCCAGGACACATCACCGCATAGATGCAGACTCATCTCTTATTGAGCGAAATAGCTTCCTTTTTGGCAGCAGGAATGATTCTCTCGGTGCCTTATTTTTCAATCCGCCTGCTCTTGAAGTCAGCAGCTATTGCAGGCTTGGCGTCCCCAGGCATCCAGTTAAGGGAAAGTGACGTGTAGAGTAGGTATCAGATGGGGCTGGATATAGAAAAAGCAGCTGGTTTCAAACCCCATGGGCTGCCTCTCTGCCATAGAGTTATTCACACTTAGGTTAGATAAGGCACAGAGCCCTCCCACGCTGCCGGGAAGGAAAGCAGACAGTCTGGCTCAGCGGGCAGCCCGTCCCCCTCCAGAGCCTGGGCTTGCCTTTGCTATAGGGTGACTGGCAGAGCCCTAGAGTTCAAAACTCAGCGGTTGCTAGACTGCACTCCCAAATGGGTCTCTTCCCATCCCTTTGCATCTTTGATTCTTTAGAGTTAAATAAACAAACACTGACTGTTTTGCCAGGTGGTTGGGTCAGACAACTCCACACGAGCTGCCTTTCTCATCCCACTTCTTCCGAGCACCTGCTTTTCTTATTTTGAGAACTCTTCTCTCCTTTTCTTTGAAAACCTAACAGATGCTAAGATGCTCGGCAGGCCGTTTTCCACGTTAGCGGTCATGAAGCGAGACTTGAACATTTGTTTGCTGCTGGTTTAGGTTTTATTTCAGAATCCACAGAGATTAACTGTCTTTTCTGTAATCCCTTCCAGAGTAAATGTGTCAAATACTGGCCAGATGAGTATTCCCTGAAAGAATACGGGGTCATGCGCGTTAGGAACGTCAAAGAAAGTGCTGCCCATGACTATACGTTAAGAGAACTTAAACTTTCCAAGGTTGGACAAGTAAGTATATTGTCGTATTTTAGAGACGTTGGTAACTGTTTATGGTATGCAGTCATTCAGAGTCGTGCAGTCACTCATGGTTATGAGTATTCATGCATTTGTTCACTCATTGCTTCAGTAGCCGTATTTCTTGGTTGCCTTCTACGCGCCAGGTACGGTTCAGGCCCTAGATGTGAACAAGGCAGGTGCAGTCTCTGCCCTCACCAAGCCTAGGGAGGTGAAAGATTTCAAAGTAAATAACCAACACAGCTTTCTGATTGTGCTTGGTCTATAAAGGCCACAGGGTATTGTGTTTGAGAGTGACTAGGTACTCGAGATGGAGTAAATAGGGAGGGTCTCTCTGAGGGGGTGACACTTGAGCTGAGACCTGAAGGTGGAGGACATCCAGGTTGAGAGAAGAGTATTGCAGTAAGTGCAAAGGTCCTGAGGCCTATTTGTGATCAAATTCCATGCATTAGATCGGCTTAACTGCACATAGTTCAAGATTGGTTCTGGAGTGACTAACTTTACAATACAAAATAGGATTAGATGTGGATTTTTTTTTTTTTTTTTTCCATGTCTCACTTTGTCACCCTGGTTAGAATGCAGTGGCATCCTCATAGCTCAAACTCCTGACCTCAAGTGATCCTCCCGCCTCGGCCTCCCAGAGTGCTAGGATTACAGGCGTGAGCCACTGTGCCTGGCCTAGATTAATTTTAATTTCATGTTTAGAGGGGCTTACTTATTCAAATTCTTTTGGGAAGACAAAGATGAAGGAAACTGCCTCTGCCCTCATGGAATTACAATCACATAGCCGCAAGAAGCCATGTATGCAAATAGTTATGCTCCGGAGCAGATTCAGGCTGCAGCACGTGCCTAAAGTGCCTGGTACAGCAAAGGGTGGGGCTCCCTTCTGGCTGGGGCACCCGGGAGGCCTTCTTGGAAACTGGGCCTCTAGGGGTCGGGTTTCTATGGGAGGAGACGGCGGGGAGAGGGCTTCCCGGGTGCAGATGCTGGTTGAGCTCTGGTACCGAAGTTCAAACCGTAGGAAAATAGGATTTCGGGGAACAGAGGTTAAGTGGGGAATTGAGGGAATAAATGGGTAGAGAGAGATTGGGGCTAAGTTGGGAAGAATCTGTCTTTTTTTTTTAAAGATCATCCTTCAAAGAGTGAAGGGAGGTCTCAACTATCAGGTTAAGGAATCTGAACTTTATCTGTCAATCTGCATGGAACCCGGGGTCCAGGTTGATGCCTCCTCTCCACGTATCCAGAGACTTCAGCAGTCGTCCTTGTTTGCTGTACTTCTCATTCCTTCCTTGGGAAGGGAATATTCTGTGTAAAGCGTCAGAGCGAATAGGAAGAGAAGTAGTGGAGGTGAGGGGCGCCTGGAGGCAGAGTCTGCAGGGCGTGGGGACAGTTTGGCTCTTGGGGCTAAGCCAGAGGGGGAGGGAGGTTTTTAAGGCATAAGGAACAAAGTGTCTGAGTCAGGACAGGAGGTTGGGGTTGACCCTAAATGCAGCAGGCAGCCACAGTTGGCTGTAGAGATTGGAGAGGGGGTCCAGGGATGAGGACTGGTTTAGGGGACGTCACTAAAGATGAGAGGGCTTGAACTAAGTCACTGGCAGGGGTGCTGGAAAGAAGAGGCCCACACGGAGGTCACCATGGAGGTCACTGTGGAGGTCACCGTGGAGGCGAGCGTGCACAGGTTTGACGATGGAATGCACACAGGGCAAGGGTGGCGTTCAGGATGACCAGTGGCGTTCTAGCTTGAGAAGTGGGGTGGACGGTGGTGGATTTGAGGATGGAGGGAGGACCAGGAATCTTCCTGTGAACACATAAAGCCTGAGATGGCTCAGCAAAGTAGAGAAGTCAGGGAGGCAGGGGTGGAGGTCGGACGAGGAGGGGAGATGGAACGTAAGGTCGTGGACAGATCGATTTTAGAAAATGGAGGGACATTTCTTCTGAGGCAACAGGAGGGCGAGAGGAGAAGGTGGCTGCAGATGCCGGTAGGTGGGCTGATAGGATGGATTTCTCCATCTTCTCGGAGGCGTGAGGCACGGCCTTCAGTTGGCAGTTGAAGGACATAAGAAGACAGACTCTTTGAGGAAGGAGAAGTGTGAAATAGTAATAGTGTAGGAGGGCGAGAAATCCAGACGTTTCTGGGCAGTGCTGAGCACCCAGGTGAGTGGTGAACGTGAACATTTAGTGACATCAATCATCTGATTGTTCTCCAAGGACACTCTGCTCCTCGGGCACAAGACAGAAAGTAGGCGGTTTGTCTAGGCCCGGGGCTGTGCCCGCTGGTACAGTGGACGGGGGGGAAGGTCGCAGTGGCGGCGTGTGGTGGAGAGCAGTAGCAGTTGTCACCACAGGACGTGGCCCTCTGGCTGGATGAGAGGGAGCAGGGAGCGGAGGAGGCAGGTGGAAATTGGGGTGAGCGCCCAGTGTCTGAGGGGCTCCACGAGGTGGTCAGGGGACCGGAGTGACCGGCGGTGGCCCAGGGTGGCTGTTTAGGTTTCTGATGTCGGCGGGGCGGGGTGGGGTGGGGGAGGCTGAGCCTGTCGCAGAGACGGTGAGAGCAGCTGGAACAAGGTGGCTGTCGTGTAGAAATAGAGCGAGATTTAGAGGACACTGGGCAAAGACTCAGATAGGCCTGTCTTCAGCTTGGTGATAAAGTGCCCGTCTTCTCATTATCAGGGGCTTCTGAGTAGCGGTTAGATTTTTCTTCAGATTAAGTGATAAATTGTCTGTCTCACTACCAGATATGTTGAGTAGCAGGTATGGGCGACATCGGCTTTGTGTATGGCTTTGTGTTTCAGACCCTGACACGGGTGTGGCAGCGGACTCATCATTTCTCCTGAATTGCTAATAAAATATGACCTCCTTTTTGCTTAGCATCACATCATTTCTAAAGTGCTGTCACATGATCTCACTTAAGCCTCCTGACCTCCCCGGGAGAAGCCGGGGCAGGGGTCCCATTGGCCATTGCCGAGGAGGAGAGGCACGGATGTGCCCTAAGACTGGGGTGGGTCTCTCGTTCCCTGACTGTCCTTCCTGTGACCCATGTAGCCGCCTGATTTTTAGGTCACTCGGTAACATCAAGGCAATTTTTTTTCATGACATTGGCAAATTAAATGCATTCAATTCAAGGTGGTGGACGCTGGTCTAGTTACCCTCTCTCTCTCTTGCTTTAAAATGTCTTTTTAAATCCCTTTTAAAAATGTCACTTAGCTTGGATTGTCTCCAGATATATGGGAAGAAGATGTAGCATTGAATAGTGCTGCTATAATTACCTAATCTGGAGAGATCCAGAAACATGATGCTTTTGGGTCTTCTGTGGTCTTGGTGCCATTGTTGATCTTTATGATCATCCTCTTCACAATAGCCACCATGCGCTGAGTCTCTGAGTGTGTGCTGGGCCGTGGCTGTGTGTGTTTCAGTGAGCTCACTGCATCCTTGCAATGGTATTGTGAGACGGAGGTCATTGTTCCCACTTGGAAATGAAGAAATTGAGGCTTAGAGATGTCCAGGGGCCACAGTGTGAATGCCTGGGAATTAAGCCTGCATCCAGCCATCTGATGGCAAAGCCTGTCTTCTCTACTTTGCATTCAACAGAAGTTAAAAATACGATGATACTCTAATAAAAGTGTGTGTGTGTGTTTGGTGGGGAGGGTTGGATATAAAAGGATGATAAACAGGAACAAATGTCTGTTTCCTTCTCTGCTGGGAGGAGAGACCCGAGTCCCTCAGTCCTCAGTTGCTTGCAGAGCTGAATGGCACATGGATGAGGCGGGACCGTGGCATTCCCTGCTGTTGGTGATTCAGAGAGTTGGCCCGGGACGAACTGTCGTACTAGGCATCTCGCTTCTCATGACGGAGGCCCTGCCTCCCAGCTCCATTGGCTCTCGCAGGGTGTAGGTGAACTTGGAACCGGGTCATCCCTCAACCCCTTGATTTATTTAATTCTTTTCTGGTTTTTCTTGGCTCTACTCCAGGGGAATACGGAGAGAACCGTCTGGCAGTACCACTTTCGGACCTGGCCGGACCACGGAGTGCCCAGTGACCCCGGGGGCGTGCTGGACTTCTTGGAGGAGGTCCACCACAAGCAGGAGGGCATCATGGATGCGGGGCCAGTCGTAGTGCACTGCAGGTGACAGCCCCTGCCGCCTCTCCAGGCCACAGCCTGTCCCCGTCTCCTAGCACCCACGGCTTGCTTTCACCTACCCACCCCCAGCCCTTTAACTGTAGGGAAAACTTAGTATCTATTCGAGGTATGGGCAAACTACATTAAGGGACATTTTGGCCCCAAAGTATATTTCTCATAGGCCCTGCAGGGCTGCCAGGTGTCAGGGTGGTGGGGGTGGGGTGGGGTGGACACATACCTTATTCTCAAAGATCCCTTAGCCTAGTCGTTTTTTGCTTGGTTTTCTTTTTTAATATAGTAATCTAGGATTCATCTCTTTGGCTGTGATTCTCTTGTCTTCTACCGTGTAATTAAGATCTATTTTTTCTCCTGCCACTACACTTGTTTGCTTCCCAAGGGTCTGCCTGCTTCCCACCAAAGCCTTGGATGGAAGCTGTGGACTCTACACCAGAGTGTGTGGACTGTTGATGCTCAAGTTTGGGCTTCATGATCACACCGGGGAAAGTGTGGTTCCCTAAATCTCATTCTTTTGTTGGGCAAGAGGATATAGGTGAAACTTCTGATTTGTCCCAGTTTTAAAAAAAGCACCATTTTCTGAGCACTAGCTTTGTGCCAGCCTCTGAGCAAAGTGTTTTTCATACATCATTCACATTTGATCCTCACAATACCTTCTACGAGGTATGTGCTGCTGCCCCCATTTCACAGATGAGGAAACTGAGGGTCCGAGAGGTTAAGGGACTCGCATCAGGCGCATTGTAGTGGGGTAGCTGGGCTCAGAGAGCAGGCTGGGCTGACTCCAAAGCCCTATGCCCTTTGCCAACGTATTTTCAGACATAAATAGACGATCTTACAAATAAGCAGACATTGTTTCTGTTAATATTAATAGCGTGGTTTTGAGTAGGAAACCCCCCATGAATGACTCTGTTGTCTCTGGTTTTTTTTTTTTGTCCCTCTTCCTACAGTGCTGGAATTGGCCGGACAGGGACATTCATTGTGATTGATATCCTTATTGACATCATCAGAGAGAAAGGTAGGTCATTTGAAGGGCAAGAAGCTGCAGTTCCTGTTTTGAGTTTCTGGAAGTAAAGAGCTACTGACAGAGCTGAGGGAAGAGAAGAATTTTTCATAAAAATCTGGGCTGAAGACTTTAATATGTCTGCCTGGGAACAGAAGTGATGCAGTTTGAGCTTTTGGTACAAAATGAGGTCTAGGAGGTGTGGACCTCACGGCTCTGGCCTTTTGTGTCACAGGTAGTAGCGATCTCTACCTAGCCTCTTAGCCTCGTGCTGCTAGAAAGTGGGGATCCCCACCTCCCACACTTTATCACGTGATCTGGGATCACTGGTATTGGTCGGAAGTTCAGTGCTGTAGCTGTTGGGACACGTTCAGTTAAAACAGCAAAGACTAAACCAGCTTTATCTCCACGTCTGCTAAAGATTGTGCATTGCACCAGGCGTAGTAGCACATGCCTGTAGTCTCATCTACTTGGGAGGCTGAGGCGGGAGGATCCCTGGAGCCCAGGAGTTCAAGTCCAGCCTGGACAACGTAGAGAGACCCTGCTTCTAAAGCAAAACAATGTAATTTTTTTTAATTTTTTTTTTTTTTTTTTGAGACAGAGTCTCGCTTTGTTGCCCAGGCTAGAGTGCGTGCCATGGCGTCAGCCTAGCTCACAGCAACCTCAAACTCCTGGCTCAAGCGATCCTCCTGCCTCAGGCTCCCGAGTAGCTGGGACTACAGGCATGAGCCACCATGCCCGGCTAATTTTTTGTATATATATTAGTTGGCCAATTAATTTCTTTCTATTTATAGTAGAGCCGGGGTCTCGCTCTTGCTCAGGCTGGTTTCGAACTCCTGACCTTGAGCAATCCGCCCGCCTCGGCCTCCCAGAGAGCTAGGATTACAGGCGTGAGCCACCGCGCCCGGCCTAAAACAATGTAATTTTAAATAACTTCCTCTTGGCCGTGCAGTTTCTCCTGATTCTTTGTGGTGTTTGCTCTGTAGGTGTTGACTGTGACATCGACGTTCCCAAAACCATCCAGATGGTGCGGTCTCAGAGGTCAGGGATGGTCCAGACAGAAGCACAGTACCGATTCATCTATATGGCCGTCCAGCATTATATTGAAACACTACAGCGCAGGATCGAAGAAGAGCAGGTATCAGCCTGGGGGGGCGGACACTTGGATTTTCATTTTCTTTCTAGGCCTCTTGGATATATGCCCTCCTTTTGAGCAGGAGGACGGGCTCTGATACACAGCCGTTTTTATTTGGGAATGGGAAACGAGTTCCCAACTAAAGGAGCCCCTCTGGAAACTGGTCATTATTCCCTTCTTCATAGCTATGAATTTTCAGTCTGGAGGAGCTTAGGGTGGGGCACCATGCCATCGTCCTGGCCTGCCAGGTCGAGGGACTGCCACGCAGAAAGGTTATGACGTTCCCAGGCTCCCAGGGCAAGCTTAGAACTCAAGGCCTTGAAGTTTCCAGCCTGGTCCAGCTTTGATCCGGGCCATGTTTATCCTGCTTCCCTTTCTTAAAATGAATGCCTCGCTCTTAATAGCACACGGCAGTTTGAACCCCTAATTTGGTTGAGTTGGAAACAGAGAAATTTCAGTTTTAATAAGCTGTGCATAATGAAGAAGAATGTGGAATCGGAGCCTTTCCATCTGAAGCTATTCATAACGGACACAAAGCTGGGTTAATTAGGAATATGCTGAGATGAGGGAAATGAGGGGGAGCTGCTCTTTTGGGGGCTGTGCGTGTCTCTCCCCCCCAACCCTATAGCTGTACTACAGGCAGGGTGTGTGTGTGTGTGTGTGTGTGTGTGTGTTCGTGTCTAAACATGGGTGACGTTTGCCTGCCTTGTTCCTTCCCTTCCAGAGAACTCAGCTTCTCAAAGTGGGAACTAAGCTCTTTTCAAAATGGGACCTGCCACCTATTTGAAAGATTTTTAGCCTAGCAGAATAGCAGCACATTATCAAAGTTCGGTTAGCTAAAGCAAGGTGCCTGCTAATGAGTTCAGGAGGATCTCAGCTCACACAATGCTTTTGTTTCATTGTGCAAAAACATCTTCAGAAACAGTATATGTATAGAAATGCAAGGTCAAATAATTAACAAGATACCAGTTTTGAATGTTAGTGCTTTAAATCTGAATTTGTATTATTTTAGGTGCTATGAAATATTTAGATGGTTACTATAGGTTATTTTGTATGCATATCTGCCATTAGACTCAGTTTGGGCCGGGGATAATGTAGCAAACAGTTGCCCAAAGGGAAGGACGCCTAATAAATACAAAGTGAACATAGCACAGTTGCTACAAGTTGGAAAATGTTCAGGGATATTTTGAAACACATGATGTAGCCCTGCTTGCAACAGCTAGGGGAAAAAAAGCTCTCTTTATTTCATTTAGAAATTTTATCCTACTTTTTCCTACCTTTTTTTTTTTTTTTTGAGACAGTGTCTCACTCTGTTGCCTGGGCTAGAGTGCTGTGGCATCAGCCTAGCTCACAGCAACCTCAAACTCCTGGGCTCAAGCAATCCTCCTGCCTCAGCCTCCCGAGTAGCTGGGACTACAGGCATGTGCCATCATGCCCGGCTAATTTTTTTTTATAGATATCTTTTTTAGTTGTCCAGCTAATTTCTTTCTATGTTTTCAGTAGAGATGGCATCTCACTCTTACTCAGGTTGGTCTCGAACTCCTTAGCTCAAATGATCCACCCGCCTCGGCCTCCCAGAGTGCTAGGATTACAGGCGTGAGCCACCATGCCCAGCTAGTTTTTATCCTTATTTTAGAGAATTTAGGGACCCTCCTTCCACAGCTTTTATAGCACTTTACATTTTCTCATTGCTGTAGGGTCTCTCTGACGTTAACTCTGAGGTTGTAGCTTGGATTTAGGAACCACTTCAAAAAAAATCTTTATTGCTGCCTTTTTGGGGTGGGGAGAAGCAGGGGATGAAAGCAAACTATGCTCCTTAATAATTTAAATGTTACAGAATATAGAAAAATGAATGTCCTGAAATCCAACCCCAAGAATGTTTACATTCATTCATTCATTCGTTCATTCATTCAGCCAGTACTTTTGGTGCTGATAGGTGCTAGGGAGCATATTGGCTGCTGTTTGGGGTATAGACTTTTGAAGTTTTAAAATCGTGCAGGCTTAGATTATTTATTTGCAAAAATGATATCCTGTAACGTCTAGTTTTCTGCATCGTATGGTTTGAATCAGTCAGGAAAGTAAGAAGCACTTTCATTTAGTAGAAGGTTTAGGTGGCAGACTTAAAAATATTAAGCATTAATCTCCACATAAAACAAAAAACCTGAAACCCACCTGATTTGTAAATTAGGCCAAAGGACAAAATTCATTTGGGATAATTGATCATTTTGTAATATAGTCATGTCCAAAATTATGAAGCACTGAGGACGTTTGGGAGTAAAAGAATTTGCTAAAGACAGATCAGCAAAAAATAAATAAATGACAGGGGTGAAGAGCCGTGGGAAAGGAAGAAGAGAAATACAGAATCAGATGTGGGAATGCAGGATAAAGTGCAGACAAAGCAAGATCGAGAAAATTCTCAAGTGTTATAAACAGTTCTCACACTCTGCCGGCTACTTGGAGGTAGACTTTTCTGTTAACTTCCATTTACAGTAGTAAAAAAACCAATTTTTATTTGCAGAAGCAGTGCATGGGATTTCCTTTACCCAGCTTTCCTGACTGTTAACATTTTAACACACCTAACTTATCCGTTTATTCTTTCTGTTTAAAAAAATTACATGTATGTGTGTGTGTGTGTGTTTGTGTGTGTGTGTACTTTTTCTTTTTTGAGATGGAATCTCACTCTGTCACCAGGGCTAGAGTGCAGTGACGTCAGCCTAGCTCACTGTGACCTCAAACTCCTGGGCTCAAGTGATCCTCCTGCCTCAGCCTCCCGAGTAGCTGGGATTACAGGTGCATGCCACCATGCCTGCCTAATTTTTTCTGTTTTTAGTAGAGATGGGGTCTCGCTCTTTCTCAAGCTGGTCTGGAACTCCTAAACTTAAGCAATCCTCTTGCCTCAGAGAGTGCCTCCTGCCTCCCCAGAGTGCCAGGAATACAGGCATGAGCCACTATGCCCAGCCATATTTCTGTAAATTTTTCAAACGAAATGTTAGTTGCAAACATTTATGCCCCTCTGCCTCTAAATGTTTGGAAAATGTGTACTTTCTAAAAATAAGGACATTCTCTTACATAACCAATAGTACAATGATCAAAATCAGGAAATTAACACTGATACAATACTACCATCTAACCTTCAGACTGAGTTCAAACTTCAAACTTCAGATTTTGCCAGTTTGTCCTACCAATATCCTTCGTGTGGCCTAGGGTCACACAGTTCATTTAGTTGTCATGTATCTTTAGTCTCTGATCTGGGACAGTTTCTCAGTCATCCTTTCTGTCTCATGAACTGGACCTTTTTGAAGGGTTCAGGCCAATTATTTAGTAGAATGCCTCTCAGTTTGGATTTGTCTGATGTTTTCTCTTGATTAGATTCAGGTCATGTATTTTTGACAGGACTGTCACGGAAGTAATGTTATGTTCTTAGTACATGCCATCAGCACAATGATAATTTGATTCATTACTGGTGGTGGTAACTTTGATCACTTGAATGAGGCGATGTCTGTCAGTTTTCTACTGTAAGTTACTATTTTTCCCTTGTACGTTATAATAATATCTTGTAGGTAGATAATACAGATTGTGTTAATAACCTGTTTCCCATAATACCTTTCTGTTTTCTTCACTGCCTTTCCCTTCCAGCTTTATTAAATATATTTGACAAGTAATAATTGTATATATCCAAAATGTTCAACATGATATTTTGATATACATATATATCGAAAATGATTCCACAATGAAATTAAATAACACATCCATCATCTCACATAGTTATTTTTTTGTGTGTGGTGAGAATACTTAAGATCCATAAAGCTCCTTGACTTACAATGGGGCTATGTCCTGATAGGTCCATCATAGGTTGAAAATATTATAAGTCAAAAAGACATATAACACACCTAATCTACTGAACATCCTAGCTTAGCCTAGCCTGCCTTACACATGCTCATAATACTTACATTAGCCTAAGTTGGGCAAAATCATCAAGAATGCTTATTTTATAATAAAGCGTCTAATATCTCATGTACTATATTGAGTACTATTCTGAAAGTGGAAAACAGAATGGTTGTATTGCTCTCAAACCATCATAAAGTCAAAAATCCTAAGTTGAACCATCGTTAGTTGGGGGCCATCTGTACACACACACACACACAGACACACAAAACACATATGTGAGGTTTCACAGAGCGAGAACACAAATGGAGCAGTAATTAAGTAGCAAATTAGCAAGTCAAAGAACAGTATTTATCCCAGTATAAACAAGCACACTCAGTGCCCAGATCTTGGTTTCAAAATACCACTCTTCACCAAAAGAAATCAGAGTTGCTTTGAAAAATGGCTGGGAAAGGAGAAAATGAACTTGGACCATCTTATGGTGTCTAAAGTCTAAGAAGTGCTCAAAAATGGGAACCAGTCCAAAGGACACAAGAACCAACTTGAAAAGTTAACCACTAGTCAAATTTGGGACAATTTAAGCAAAAACAACAAAAGTCATAGTAATGTACCCATTCTGATATACATGAAGGGAGAAAGGAAAGGTCTTTCTTATAAATGAACAGGAAACAATGAACCTAAAACTGCAAAACTCCTAGAAGAAAGCACATGGGGAAAGTGCCACGGCATTGCTCTTGGCAGTGGTGTTTTGGATTTGACACCAAAAGCACAGACAACAAAAGGAAAAATAAACAAGTAGGGCTACATAAAACTTAAAAGTTTCTGCAGAGCAAAGGAAGCAATCAACAGAATGAAAAGGCAGCCCATGACATGGGAGAAAATATTTGCAAACCATATATCCAATAAGGAGTTAATATCCTAAATATATAAGGAACCCCTACAACTCAACAGCCTTCACCCCCAATTTTTAAATAATCCAATTAAAAAATGGGCAAAGGACCTGAATAGGCATTTTTCCAAAGAAGACATAGAAATGGCCAGCAGGTGTATGAAAAGTCACTCAGCATTGCTAGTCATCTGAGAAACACAATCAAAGCCACAGTAAGTCATCACCTTAC